ATTTTATTTTTTAAATAAAGAACCAAATAGAAGAAGAGTATGGCATACTTATTTAATATGAAATACCACTCCCCATATACTTTCCATTTTTCTTAAAGCCATCATTACCAAAGCATGAACTTGACTAACATATAATTAATTAAGTGATTATCTAAATCCAACAACTATTGACATAACAATGCAACTAATTGACCTTTTCATCCCCAAAAGACAAATGGAAAAGTTCAAAGTTAAAAAGAAAAGGTATGAAAGCCACTCTCAATGTTCACAATATGCAATTCAAGATAAAGGGTCAAATTGTTCTTGGTGAGGCTTTTGAAGTGTTACCTCATCCTTCTAGAAAAACCCTTTTCTTTTACACCCCTCAACCTGTTTGATAAAATGCCCCACTGGCTGTTCCCCAACATTAACAATTATAAAAATATTTACTCTTGTAGCTGACTTTCTCTTTTTTGCCCTATGGTCAGTCTCAATGAATTTAGTATTATTGATCCAACTTCAACCCTTTGGCAACCAATTCTAAAGGTCGTTGGTTTACGAGTTATGCTGAAGTCAAATCTACGTTTCATGTATGAATATTTTCGTCCCTATACTCTATGGATTAGGTAACCTCACACGTATAACCCACATTTATAGTATATACTAATTTTTACGGATCATAAACTCCCGAACCAAATATTAGTTGCATAAATCCATGTTTCTATAACGTTTTTCTAGTACAATCCTAACTCATACTTCTTAGACTCGAGATTCTTGTGAAAAACAATTTGAAACCAAGAAAGTGTTTTGAAAGCAGGTTGGTTTGCTGTAGAGGTCATGATATTGTCAACTAAATTCACATTTTTTTATTAATTGGGTTTTGGTTGGTTTAAGAAGATTTTCTCCTTTTCACTTTTCTTTTTGGTTTTGAATGTTTCTTTCTCCATAAGCATAGTGTCTGCCTTTTTTGACTTTTGTTAAATCAAATTCTGTCAGCATTCAAAAATTCCATATCAGAAGCAAACAGCAGCCTCCATCTATAGTTAATGGCTTAATTAGTCATTTGGTTAATTTGTAAGTTGAGCCTAACACTTCATCTCAATTAGCTATAACTTTCAAGTGTCATTTTGTTTGGTGAGACCACTTGGGTTGCCCTCTCCAATGCCCTTAAAACTACCCTCATTATCCCCGATCTTTATATTTTTTTTCCTCGAAATTGATGTCGTGTGACTTACTCTAGTTGATCCATATAACCTGGGGTCATTACCTGGACTGAACAATATTGTGACCAGCACAGGACTCGAACACAAAACCTCATGGTAGGTGATACCACACAAGACCCTATGTCATTACCAACCCCAATCTCTAAGCTTTAAAATTTCTTATTGATTGTTAGTGCAACATGGATTGGTTTAGTTTGAATGATATTGATGTATATTTGGTCGACTAAAACGGAAAGAAACCTAACAAAATTGGAGGAGGGAGGGAGGCGAGAAAGAAAAAGATATAAAAACAAAAACTATTTTCAAAACGAAATAGACTAAATAGGAACTAGAGGGATCCATGGAAGAAGATACTTCTCTTTCCCATTTTTAGAAGAAAAGTAGGATCCATACAAAGTTGAGGAAACGAAAAAGACTCAAGTGAATAGAGAAAGGAAAAATCAAAGGTTGAATTCCACTTTAAAAATACACATTATCGAAATGTAAATAGACAGTTTTATAAATTTTTTGTTTTCTGGCTTAATTATCAACCAAACAAAATGCAAAAAATAGCTTATAGTAAAAATCTTTAAGAATAAAAGTAAATTATACTTAAAACTTTAAAGGAAAATTGATGGATTTTGGGGATGGAAGATTATATATGAAATGTTGGAAGAAGAAATGAATATGTTGGATCAGTAGGTTGTCTAAATCATTGGGTTAATGAGTTGTTTTCTTGTTGAGAATTTCAACGACCCAACAACATTCTACCTTATGCTTCATTCCCCCATGCAAATCATTTTGCCCCCGCACACTAATTAATATACTCAAATTATAATCTTCTTTCGGTCTTCTTAAGCTAATCCAAATTCACGTACTAAATGCCTATACAATTTTATGTTTGATCATAGCTCAACGTTATCTCGAACCAGTTCAGACAAATCTTCGTGTACTAAGCACTTTACTTATAGAATCAGTCGTGACAGCAATGATAAAGACATGTTTTAAATATTAGGGTCCAATCTACTCCATCAACCTTCTAGACAAGTACCATGTTTATTTAACTTTGAATATACAAAACGAAAAATCATATTATTTATCTAGTAGATTAAAATCACTGTTTAATGTCTAAAGTCTAATACAAATTGTCTAAATAATTAATTTAAAAAAGAAAAGTGAATATGATATAGAAATATTAAAAGTTTAAAGCAGCCAAGGTTGATTAAAACCGCGTTTTTGGTGAGGTAGGAATTAATAATAATACCCTCTGCTGCGTTTAATTTAACATTTATAAAATAATTGTGATAAAAAACATTTACAAAATAATTAAAAAAAAAAACCATAGTGATCTACTTGGCCTATCATTTTCATTTGTTCAAAATCCCTTCTTCTATTGGTAGGTGAGATTTTTCTCTTTTTTTTTATATTTTTTTAGGAGAAAATAGGTGCGATTGATATTATTGCTAAGTAGTAGTCAATTAATTTTAAATTGGAACTAGTATTTCCCACTCTTCTTTTCCAATTAAATATTTATTCATAACTAGCTCTAATCATCTCTTAAAAAAATTAAACGTAGTTAAGTGGGATACTACTTCAATCGAATTATATTAAGCGTTTAAATTTTAAAATTAGGCCATGATGTTGCATAGAAATAGAATTTTTTTTTATAAGCTATTTACTATAAGAAAGATATGTGCTATCATAATTGTATCTTTTACTTGCTAAAAAATACAATAGGCGAATAATTCGAGGATTAAAAGATATCTAACTAATAAACTTAAGTTTTTTGGTTGATTGATGATTCAACATAGTATTAGTGTAGGTTTCTTCTCGATTTAATATAAGTGAGGGAGAGCGTTAATATATCTATAAATGATTAAATTTATCGTAACTTATCAACTTAACATTTCAGATTGATTGGTGATTTAATACAAACCTACTCGAGAGTTGGTTTTATGAAAAAGACTAAAAAATAAAATTCTCAATTAAAACATAAACTAACCTATTAATACACTATAGTTTTTTTTTTAAATTAAATGTTCAAATCTCCACGTCATCATTTTTTAGTATAATATGTGGGGTGGGAGATCAAACTCTCAACATCTTGGTGGGAGGTTAATGTCAATTACATCATCCTTATTTTATCTAAAACATTTGTATTTTAAAAAATAATTTCATAATTAACTTAATTTGTCCATATGAGTATGAGTTTGACCTATATCGTTCGTTCTAACTCCCTTATCATTGATAGGGTCGATCTGAGATTAATTTCATAAATGAGTTGTTATATTTCGTCTGGTTTGTGAGATACATGTTTTTTGTACCCTAATCTACTTAGTTGTAATATTAACTTTATTAGTATTATTGCAACTTTATTCACGTATCTCTTTATTTTGTTTGTCTCTGTATCACATTTTTTCAAGTCACCTATAACATTTTTTAATTGTATTTTAAAACTGAAACACCATCCAAATTCCTTGATACATTATTTCTCTAAAATCTCTGTCAAGATGTTTGTTTGAAGAATTCCTCTCTCGATATAAATAAAAACCAAACTTCATAGTTCTTCTTACTAGCTTGGCCATGCCATTAACCTTCTTCTCCAAGATGAAAACCTCAAACTCCCCTCTCCCAAAATGGCTCCTCCTCCTCTCCATCATTTCCCTCCTCCCCAAACCTTCCGATCAACAGCCCTCTGCGTCCCCGTCGCCATCCCCATTGCCACCGTCGCCGTTTCTCCCGAACCCGAGACTCCTCAAAGCCTACTCCGCTCTCCAAGCTTGGAAACGCGCCATGACCACCGACCCCGCCAACTTCACCGCCGACTGGTACGGCCCCGACGTCTGCAACTATTCCGGCGTCTACTGCGCCCCCGCCCCCGATGACCCCCACATCCTCACCGTCGCTGGAATCGACCTCAACCACGCGAACATCTCCGGCACCCTGCCGGAGGACCTCGGCCTCCTGACCGACCTTGCTCTGTTCCACATCAACTCCAATCGTTTCTGCGGCAGCCTTCCGGATTCCTTCCGGTGCCTCTCCCTCCTCTTCGAGCTCGATATCAGTAACAATGACTTCTCCGGCGATTTCCCCGCCGTCGTTCTCTCCCTCCCTTCCCTCAAATTTCTCGATATCCGCTACAACAGATTCCACGGCGATGTCCCTTCTCCCCTGTTTCAGAAGAAACTCGATGCTCTGTTCATCAATAACAACGATTTCAAATTCTCCCTCCCTGAAAACATCGGCGATTCCCCTGTTTCTGTTCTGGTTTTTGCTAACAATAACATCAATGGCTGCCTCCCCTCCAGTATAGCCAAAATGAAGGACACCCTCAATGAGATTATAATTACCAATAGTGGGTTAATTGGGTGTTTGCCGCCGGAAATTGGGTTGCTGAAAAATCTCACCGTCTTCGATGTCAGTGGTAACAATCTCGTCGGGCCGTTGCCGGAGACGATGGCCGGGATGAAGAATTTGGAGCAGCTGAATGTTGCGGACAACCAATTGTCCGGCGACATTCCGGCGAGTATCTGCTCGTTGCCCAAATTGCAGAATTTCACTTTCTCGGATAATTTCTTCTGCAGCGAGTCGCCGGCGTGCCAGAAACTTCAGGCGAGAGATGATCGGAAAAATTGTATACCGGACCGGCCACTGCAACGCTCGCCGGAGGAGTGCGTCGCTTTCTACTCTCACCCTGTTGACTGCGGCGTCTTTGGCTGCACTCGCCGGCCGCCGCCTCCGGCACCGTCTCCTTATTATCAGTATCCGTAATCACTAAATTTGAGGACTTTTATTATCATTCTGCAACATGAATTTTATGCGAAAGGATTTTATAGAATCAGAGGTTTTTTATGGAGGAGGTTAGCGAAAAAGGGAGAAGAAACGACCCAGATTGGTTTTGGGTATTACTGTTACTAATTTTCTTAATTAGCGATGTGGTTTAATTCATAATTAGTGATGTGATTATGTATGTAATTTGATTTTTTTTTTTTTTTATTCTATAGCAGTATTGCAGGGGCTTGCAAATTTGGTAAAAGAATTAATAGTTAATGGTAAATAATAGAGCCCTCATTTTTCTAGTTTTCAGATATAGCCAAAAAAAAATTGAGGTCCATCCCCAATGAAATTTTGAGAAATCAATTATCTATATCTATCTATATTATAACTATAGGGAGAAACTTTCTCTCAATTTTGCCCTTTCAGTTTAATCTTTTTTTCCTATTATTTTAAGGACAATTTTGTCCTTCCAAATACAAATCTCTTTCTTTATACTTCCTCTCAAATTCATGTTTTCCTTTCACTAATTCTCTCTCTATTATTTTCTCTCCTTAATTTTTTCTTATCATTTAATGTTTTTTTGGCTTAATTTTAGAAAACTTATTCAAATTTTAAAATGGAGGATGTTTATTCAAATTCTAGAAAAACTTGTTCTCGTTAAACTTATCCAAATTCAAATTCTACATATTTCTCCACACTTTCCTCTTGGCAACAAAAAAATCAAGAGGTGATAACAAATTTGATTGAAATTTTTTCTGTTAGTGAGGAGGATCTGGGGGATTATTCTCCTGCTTTGGAAATTGTAGCTCGCGTTAGGCAATCAAGAGGAGAATTGATAGTAAAGAGAGAATAGTTAAAGAAATTGAAGTTGAATCGAAGTTGATGGTAGACATTGGCTTTCTCAAAATTTATCATTATCATGGTTGGATAACATGAATGCTTTTAAGTTTTATTTTAATTTTTTTATTTTTGGGAAGTGATGTCTTGAGTTAGGCAAGTACAATGTCCGAAATTATTTTTACAAACTTATGAAAAAAAATAATCAATGTTTATGTGACGTCCGACTAGAGAGGAATGGTACATGGATGTACTGATATCACATCCGAATACAAGGGATCCTGAGACCATGGAAACATGGTTAAGAAAAGGCTTAAAAGAAGTGATAGTTACTACCTATCCCAACGAGGTGCACCTTCATTTTCGGTAGCTCAATCGTAAGAACTCCAAAGTTAAGCGTGTGCTTGACTTGGAGAAATCTTAGATTGAGTGATATGTGAGTGAGGACAAAGCATGCTGAAAATACACGTGTTGGTCTGTAGGGATAAGTCTACGCTCTTTTAGAGTAGATGTGCCAATCTTGGGCTTGGGGCGTTATAGTTTATCCCTATTAATCTTAACAAATTCAACATTAAATTGTAATACAATGATCAATATTCCAGTGAATGAGTAGTAAATTAAGAACATTATATATTGGTTTATCGAATACGCTACAAATTGCATAAACTTTTGTCACTAGCGCGCACTCTGGAGAGAACTATAATAGTTGTGATTCTTTTCATTACCCACACAATTTCCGATATTTGCTTTTATGGTCAAAGAATATTAATAGAAGATTAATAAAATTTTTATTTTATTTTCAATTAGAGTTTTATTTTTATTATTCTGGGACGTAATTTACCATATCAATAAAAAATATTGACAACTCAACATCTATAGAATCCATAAATTGCAATAAAAAAAACTCCATTAAATTGAATACATACAAAAACTAGTACGATCTTCTGAAATTGAGAAAAACTATCCAGTGATATATCTAATATCAAGTACATCATTCATATATTTTATATGAAACGTCCGACTAGAATGAACCGATACCACATCTGAATGAGAGGAATCCTCATACCATAGAAGTATGGTTAAGAAAGCTTAAAAGAAATTATAGTTACTCCCTATACTAACAAGGTGCACCTTCCTTTTCGTTTGACCTGGAGCAATCTTCGGCTGGGTGACCGCTGGAAGGATTCGTGTTGGTCTGTAGGGATAGTCTACACTCTTCTAAGTAGCGCGGTCGGGTCGCAGGGAGATGCCGAGGCAAAGAAGTGTCAAATCCAGATTCCGAATCGTAGACTTGGGGTGTTACATTATATGACTATTCCATATCATATCATGTATATTAGTGATATACTTCGTTGAGTAATTGATATATCAATTAGAAACCTACAAGACCTCTAGGGGACCTTTGGCCTTTTTGCTTCTATAGTTGGGTATGTATACTATCCCCATATCCGTACATACGCAAGAGATCATTGTTTGATGAAGTTGCATTGTGACTTGAACCCAAAACTTCAATGATATTGCTTGAGGCTCAAAGCCACCCAAGCTATCCCCTAGGGACAACCCGAATGAGATTTATAGTTGTATATATAAATGATGCACTCTTGCAACTTGATGAATATGCCACCAACATCTCAAGATGTTTTCAATATTGAATAATCTTTGAGAAATGTTTTGAGAGAACTAAGAATAAAGAAGTAGTAAAACTCTAAATGTTGTGAAAAACATTGTAGAATAAAATGTATTTTTATAATAATAGAGGATAAAAAGTTACAAAAGCTTTTGAAATTCCAGTATAAATTATAATTAAAGGTAGGAAAACTTTTTGCATTCTAGCATTTTAAGTGATGTGGATTGTTAGTATTGATAAGTAATAATTAATAATTAATTGAATATTTATAATAGTATATTAATGACATAGTTTGTAAATTAGTAAGCTACAATAAAGTGTCAAAAATGTTTTTCCAACCTCATTTCTTTTTAATACAGTATAGAATATAAATATAAATATAGAAATATAGATATAGATATAAATACAAATAGTCTCGTGTTAAGAAGAAGGACACTATCTAAAAAAAATAAAAATAAATAAATCACGAGGCTATCAAAAAAAAAGAGGGCACAAAAAAGATTAGGCATGAAGCTTGGTGCAATCTTGGTAGTATTTTTTTTCCAAAAAAATATAATTTTTAACCTTGAACTTAATAAGATGTATTAGTAAGATTGATCAATATATGAGATTTTTGAATAAAAATGACATTGGACTATTGGAGCGGATCTTTCTATTGATATTTGTAGGCTTTTTAGGGTTTTTTAAATGGTTATTTTGTGCATGAATCAAACTTAATTTTGTGCAAATTTTATTTTTTGTTAAATTAGTGATTTTTTTAGTTTTTATATTATTATTTTATAATTAATGATTTGATTAGCGAACATAGAATAGATGGTAAAAATTACAATACTTATCTAAGTTTAAGGTTCAACTCGATAAAATTGAAAGTTTTTAGTGAAATTTTTACTTGCCGAGGTAAAATTTTATATTTTCTCCTTTTTTTTCTTTTAATTATGTTTATACCAATATCTAAGCAATAATCTATTTTTCATAAAGATAATTAGAGAGGAAAGTTTAAATTACCATACTTCTTTTTACCCAAATAGTCTTTTATGGGGAATTTTAATAAATATTTTTAAAGAAATATAATTACGGAATAGATTACAATTTTGTTACCGAAGTTTTGAACTTCATGATTTTTTAGCCTATAAGATTTTTAAATCAATATTTTAATTAATAAAGTTTAGAGAAGTATGTAACCATTAGTTGACCAAGGAAGATGATGAGACATTTATTGTATATGAATTTTATTAATTTTAAATTCAAATTTGTAGATTTTAAGTATTGAAATTGGGGGAAAATGATGAGACTTACATCTGGACCATATTTTTTCCCACGACTAGAAAAACGATAAGTTAGAAAGTATGTAAAATGAGATTTTTTTTTTTTTTATAGACAATAAAAGTCCATCAATTATTTGTTTGAAAAGTATATTTAAGCTATGGTCAAATACGTAAAAATTAATATTTTTAGTCCAACTGTAATTGACATATATCTTCAATTTAGAGACGGTGAGTTCGATCTCCTACCACATATACTAAAAAAAAATAGAATTTGTATAGATTCTAATCACAAATATTTATTTATTTGATATTTATGTACAATATTTAATTATTATCATTATTTTGAGTAAAATATTTATTTATTATTTTTTTTTTTACAGAGAACCACGGTACATAGAGTAAGCTTTTGGGTAAGATAATTAAGCAATTATTTAAAAGAAAAAAAAAACCCCAAAACAAGACCCTATATAAATTCAGATTTAGGGTTTTGGAAGGTCTCAAAATTTTCCTGCCGTGCAGCTATCATCTGGAGTTAGGGCACCTCACCTCCTCCAACCATGGCCGTCGGGTACTCTTTTTCTCTCTTTCTGGTTGTGATTCTTTCCAATTGTATGCTGCATTTTGGTTTTATACCTCATATTTGTTTTCTGTTCGATCAGTAAGAACAAGAGGATTTCCAAGGGAAAGAAAGGAGGGAAGAAGAAAGCGTGAGTATACTCATTTTTCCCTTTTAGGTTTTCAGATGTCGGTTTTAGTTTTGGATTACTTTTATGTATCTGTTATTTGCTTGTCTTTCAGCACCGATCCATTTGCCAAGAAGGATTGGTATGATATCAAGGCTCCTTCTGTGTTCACCGTTAAGAATGTCGGAAAAACTCTCGTTACTCGCACGCAGGGTACTAAGGTGAATCCATTCTGTTTTCATTGCTTTTACTTTTGAAGGCATTGCTGAATTTAATTAGACTTCAAACTTCTGTTGTTTATTATTTTGTATCAAATTTGATTGATGTTTCTTCTGGAATGTAATATCTGGTATCTGAGACCGAGAGTTTGAGTTTTATATTTTCTAGCTGCTTGCCAACTTATTTGGAGTTTTAAGTCTGAATGATGCAGTAGTCTTTAGGCCTTTGTTTTGTTGCTGCGATTTCGATGTTGGTTTATATTTATATAGATATTTTTTTTGTTTAGTTGCATGTAATTCAAATGTTAAATTGCGTTTGTTGCTCTCAATAGATTGCATCCGAAGGACTCAAACATAGAGTCTTTGAGGTCTCATTGGCTGACCTTCAGGATGATGAGGAGCACGCCTACAGAAAGATTCGCTTGAGAGCAGAAGACGTTCAAGGGAGGAATGTACTGACAAATTTCTGGGTGAGATGGGATGTTCTATTTAATTACGATAATGTACTCACGTCGGACTTTGTAGCTTGCATTTTGATCTTCTTTTTCTTCTTTGTGAATATGTTACAGGGAATGAGCTTCACTACTGACAAGTTGAGGTCTTTAGTACGCAAGTGGCATACTTTGATTGAAGCTCATGTAGATGTCAAAACCACAGACAGCTACACCCTTAGAATGTTTTGCATTGGATTCACCAAGAGAAGGCCAAACCAGGTGAAAAGGACGTGTTATGCTCAATCCAGCCAAATCAGGCAGGTTAGTTCATAGAATTCCGGTAACGTATTTTATCTTAAAACTAGAGTAATGTTTCGGATCCTTGGTTTTGACTAAATGTTCTCTGGAATGTTGTCTGATAACTTTTTACATGTTTCAGATCCGCCGTAAGATGAGAGAGATCATGGTAAACCAAGCATCATCTTGTGATTTGAAGGAGTTGGTTCGCAAGTTCATTCCCGAATCAATTGGCAAGGAGATTGAAAAGGCAACATCCAGCATCTACCCTCTTCAAAATGTGTTTATCCGGAAAGTTAAAATCTTGAAAGCCCCCAAATTTGATCTTGGGAAGTTGATGGAGGTATATATCTAGTTTACTTCTAATTCACTCTTAATAGTTTGAACAGATTTATAACTAATAGAATTATTTCAGTCTTATATTTTCATCTGTGATCTTACTGGGAGGAGAAATTCTATCCTTAATTCTTTTCTCGTGGTGACCTGTGTTTTTAGGTTCACGGTGACTATTCGGAAGACGTTGGCGTGAAGGTTGAGAGACCTACCGATGAAACCATGGCAGAGGAGGGGGCTACTGAAATTGTTGGAGCTTGAGTTCAGTTATGTTGAAATTTCATTTATTTTGAGTTGGATTACCCTTGTTTTTGTTTCATTTTGACCTTGTTTTGTCTACAAACTTAGTTTAACCCTCATCTCGGTCTAGTCAGAGAGTTGATTTAGAGGAACGCAATTTTCCGCTACCAAGTTTTAGACAAAGAATACTTCCATTGAATTAATTTAGCAAATTGCACTGTTTTTCTACTTGAACATGTCTGAAAATGGTTCTTGGGGATAACTTTATCCGCAATCCTTATTTCATTGAATCCTTAGAATTTAACGTTGGCATTTAATTTTCTTTTTCTGAAATTGATGTTAGCTTAAAATTTGCTTAAAACCCTATTATTCATATAAGCTGAATTATGAAATTTTACGAATAATAAATTATTTGTAGTCTATGAAATCGTTATTGCTTATTAAAAAACTCCAAGATGACATCGTAGAAGGATACAGGGTAAAGGCCGTTACAATTCAATTTTGTCTTGTGTTTCCTCTTACAGCGTTCTTTTCTGTGTTTGATTGGTCCTTGCAAAGGCATGTCAATTTTCCCGGTGGGGATCCAACTTGATAGTCAATCAGAAAATCAATCTGGATTATACTTTCTTATTCTTTTATCTAAACAACATGCGAAATGTATAAAATGTTTTTTTTTTACTAAATCATATATTTGGATCTAGTTTGAGTAGAGTGGAAAAAATATTGAGTTAAAATGAATGTGCAACTAAAAAAGACTAAAAGTTTGCATACATCTTTTAAAGTTGCAACACATCTGTTAATATTTGGAAGATGTTTGGCTTCCAAATTTAGTTAAGTTGTTGAGTCAATAAACTGAGTTTGGATTGAGAATTTTAACTTTGTATGATATTTTTATAAAAAAAAGTAAAAACAAAATTCTAATAAAATAAATCTTCTGAATATCAACTAGTTATTTTTTTCAAGAACGTGATAATTGGTATTTATTTAGATTTTGTTTTTTCACTATCAGTTGACAAAGTCGAAGCACTTTTATCTAATCATTTTGCTAGATAGTTTTCATAAGAATAAAAATAAACAACCATACTATAATAATTATTTTTACAATTGTTCTTTGCACAATAAAGAAAGAAGTCTTTTTTCTTAAGTTAAATAAAATCTCTCTCGTGTTTGTGTTAGTCATGCCCTTTCTTGAATTTATTCCATTAGATGTGAATGTAAATTTTTTGAAATGAGATGTGAATGTCATAATTATCCGTAATAGATTGACCCTATTATAACATATCCAAATAATTTCGACCAAAAGATGGAAAGTTTGAATCACAATATGTTAGAAGTTCAAATCTCTACCCCACGTCTTGTTGAACCCAAAAATGAAGAACAAAAAGTGAGATCAAAATTTTTATAAAAAAAATATTCGAATATGTCAAGTATACTAACATGGAATCCTATGAGTTTCCTTGTCAACCAAATATAGCAAGGTCAGGACGGTTGGTCCGTGATTAGTCAGGGTACGTGCAAGTCAATTCAGACACATTAATAAAAAAAAATATACTAACATGAAAATCCTCCCCTAGAATTTCAATGAACCAAATAGAGCAAGTGATCCTTTTCAAAGGGCAACTTGTGGCCACTCGATGTGCCACCAATGTCTGCATTCAGCTGCAGGGCCCTCCTTGTTCAGCAGAATCGATCAAGCTAGAGCAAGATAGCACAAGTTTTAGAAATGAGGTTATTGTTACAAGATTCTGTCTGTTATAGTTCATCATTAGATCAGAAAAGGAATACTTTTTTCAAAAAGATCCAGAGATGATCCACAGACACCATTCTACAACTATTACAACTTACAAGGGGACGACTAGTTTTGCTGCCTCTATTAGTCTATGCTGTTCTTCCAAAGAATTAGACTCAGTCTCCATGAGTTGAAGGTCTTGTACATCCACAAGAACATGGCTTCTTTCGTCTTTCGCTGCGTCTTCCACTTCTGTAGATGAAGTCCCTCAGAAGAACGCTGGGTTTACTCTTGGAGAATCTGTTCTTCCCTTTTCTTTTCTTCTCGGCTTCGAGTTTCAGCACGACGCGTTGAATGTTCTGTACCTCGAACTGTAGTTTTCCTATCTTCTCGGATCCTCTTTGTGTCTGCTCTGTTAGCTTGTTTAAGGGGATGTTTCCAGTCACCTCGATTTCTGCTGATGGCCTTCGCTCGAAAGATGAGGGACTGCGTTCCAAGTTCTGCTTCAGTTGACCATTTACATTTACTTGCTGCAAAATGGCTTCCTCAACTTCTTTTAAATGTCTCTCAACTGTGTCATATTCGTTGTTTCTGGCCATTCCAAGGCTGTTGTCCACTTCCATTCTCTTTTTCAAATCTTGAACGCTTGTTAGAAGACCTGTCAACTGCCCCGCATCTGAATCAAGCCTCTCTAAAATCTTCCCTTTGCGGCCTCGTCGAATTCGTTCTTTAATGCTAGGCGATAACTCCAATTTGTCAATGCTTAACTCCTTCTCAACTCGAAATTCTGAAGAACAATCTGGACTCTTATGTTCTACAATCTCCAACTGAGGGCACTCGATTTGCGGGTTCGACGGGCTTTGTGGCACACTATCAATCAAATTCTGGTCACAATCCTGTTCAGCAGTTTCCCACAACTTGAGCATTTGATCATTAGTCTCACTACTTTCCCTTTTGCTTCTTCTCTGGAAAGAACTATCTGAGACATGATCCAGTGGAATATCCTTCATCAATATTCCATTGTCAGGTTTATTCTTTCTTGCCTTTAGATTTTCAGTAATTCCATCCCGCAAATCTTTCCCTTCCTTTGTTGTTGCCTTTTGATGCGAGCTTTCTTCTGATTTGAAGTCTTTGATATGTTTGTCAGCAGCTTCCTTGTTCAGTTTTTCCTTTTCTTCAATCACAGCCTTCTCAACTGCTTTAATCATGGCCCCAATCTTCTGCAAATCCAATATCTCATCTTTTTGGACATTACAACTCCTCTGATGAACGTGAATTGTGGTTTCTTCACCCTGGCAATACATGATCGTAAATCAATATTAGATTTCAGCAACAGTTTTTCCTCAATGCACATCATGATGATGATGCAATCTTGAGACACAAGACTTTGCACTAACTTAAAGATAATTGATTCCATTCAAGTTCTAGAGCTGCAAGTTCACCACTAGATTTAAAGTAAAAGACAGGCACGGACATATCCATATCTGCACATGAGTACCCATCGTGTATAAATATTGCTACACATGATTATATCCAGTCATGATGGAACTGAAGAGCGCAATGATATTGAGCACAAAATTTGGCTGTTTTGAGCCAAACTGTTGTAGATTTGTACACTATTTAGCTTTGACTAAAATACAAAATCGTTTAGAAGAATAATTTATAAAGTATAATTAATGAGAAAAAAGTTTTACCTCTTCTCCCATAAACCCTCTACAGATATCCCTAGTACGAGGAAGAACAATATGCTTGAGTGATTCGACATCCTCCCTTAGAGAAGCAATGGCAGGCTTATAGGCAGACAACTGTGCCTCCATTTCTCCAATTTCAGTTTCCAGGAAACTTACTCTTTCTCTGAGTTGTTCAATCTCCATCGTTTTTGCAGCATTCTCATCTCCTGCATTCTCACAAGCTTGTTTAAGTTCAAGAACCTTGTGTTCAAATAAGACCTCCCGGATCGACGAGATCTGAAGATCAAAGTAAAATGTTGTGGCTTCAGCCTCCCAGAGCTCAAACTCATCTCTTCTCTCCTGTAGTTCTAAATTCAGACTATCCTCTCTAATTTTGCATTTCTCGATCTCCTCGTTCAAAATATCCACTTCGGATTTTAAATTTTCATTTGCTTCGCAGAGGTTTTGGATTTCAGTCTCCTGGCTTAAGCACTTTTGAGAAAGTTCAAGATTCTTTTTCTCTAGACTGTGTTGGATCATCACTGTTTCTTTACCTTCCATCTTGAGCTCCTCGACGGCATCAGACAATTTCATGTTGAAGTTCTGTGAAGTTTTAAGCTCCTCTTCTGTTTCTGAAAGCTCTTGGGCCTTCAGCCTCAGGAAATCATTTCCAAGTAAGATTTGATAGTTAAGTTGATCGTTCAAGTTTTTTGCTTCATGTAGCTCCCTGGCCAATTTCCCTACTGATCCAGTTAAATGCAAATTCTCCACTTCCTTCAACTGAAATTTCTCCGCCAACTTCCCAACTTCTTCCCTTAGATCAGAATTGACCACTTGGAGACGACAGATGTCTTCAATAAGCTTTTCTATTTCCAAGAATTTCTCAGCTTTGAAGCTTTTAAAGATCGATGATAGGATATTGAAACCCATCACCTCCTCGATGATTAAATTTTGCTGCTCTTGTTGAACAATATTCTTGTCCTCTTCAAGGTCCAAAAATTTCTTGAGCAAAGATTTCTTTTCTTCAGCAACATTATAATTTTCCTTTTCCAGCAGAAGACAGGCCCCTTGCAGATTTATTAGCTTCTCATTTAGATTTTCAATCTCAGCCTTCATTTCGAGCTCATGTTGCTCCCACTGGCTAACTTGCATCATCAACTGGTTTTTTGTCTTCAGAAGCTCATGCTTGTCGTTTTCATGCAGAGCTAGTCGCCCCTTCATGATTTTTAACTCCTGCATAATGTTCTCTTTCTCTGACAGAAGTTCTTCACTCTCTAAACTCAGTTGCTTGAGAAGAGTTAATAAAACTGAGTTCTGAACTAGCAGTTGCTGCTTCTTGTCCTTGTTTTTGTACACCGAAGTTTTTAAATCCTCGATTCTGGCCAAAATATCCACTATCAGAATTCTCTCTTCTTTCATATTTTCCTGCCCATAATCTCGATCAAATTGAAGAGCCATTAGTACCTTACGGATTCCTGCTCTGAGTTTATCAATTTCATTGTACATAAATTCTACTTCAACTTGTTGCTCAAGATTTTCGCCTTCCAACTCAGCAATAAGTTTGTCCGATAACTTGGATGCCTCTTCATATTGTTCACATTCAATAAGCAAAGAAAGATTTTTCTCTTCCAAATCCTCAACAAACTTCTGCAGGATAAAGATTTCAACCTGGGCATTTACAGCCTTGACTAGCAGTTCTTCAATTTCTTCCTTGCCCAATCTACTTTCTTCTCTTAGGGTATGGACACGGTCCTCCAAGCCAGCAAGTCTGGACTCAGTCGACTGCTTGTAACTTGTATGCTCTTGTTTTTCCATGAGAAGGGAATATCTCAGTTCTTCTACTTGATTTAAGGCAGAGTCTTTGTCATTTTCCAGATCAGAATATTTTTCTTCTAGATTTGTAAACCTCTTTTCCAGGTTTCCTAGTCTCAGTTCAATGTTTTCAAGCTGAGCCACCAGCACGCCTCTTTCATTCATAAGATTGGACCTCTCATCCTTCAGCAACTGGCAGAATTCTTCTAAGCCCTTTGATTTTGCCCTCAAACCTTCAAGCTCAGTATTTGCACCAGATAGGGAATCTTCCAGCAATGTGTTCTTCTCTAAAAGTTTCAACATATTCTCAGTCACATTCTGAAATTGGGAAAGCAAGGAAGATTTCTCTGCAACAAGAGCAGTTTTTTCTTCTTGGGTAAATTGGGAAAGCTCCTGGGATTCCTTGACTTTCTCCCTTAACCTCTCCAATTGAGCATTTAATTCAGCAAGAGATACCTTGAGAGTGGAATTTTCCTTTGAAAGTTCATCCATATAACTGAGTTTCTCATAAAGTGCTTCTATCTTGTTCCTGTCCTTTTCACAGACCTCCCTCAGCTTGGCATTCTCCTCTTGAAAATCTCTCACAGAGGATTCAAGGGATTCAGGATCTAATCCTACCGCCTCCAATTGTTTCATTATGCCCTGGTATCTTCCACTCAAGCCCTTAATTTCTTCTCTCAAATGATGAATATCTTTCTCAAGCAAATTGCTCTGCTCTTCTTTTTGGGCAACAACCTCCTCAAGCTTCTCTTTCATCTCCTTCAATCCAGATAATTGATCTTCTAGATTCTTCATTGAAGTATTAGAAGATAAATGCAGTTCATTCAGTATTTTGTTTTCATCCTTAACTCGTTGGAGCTCTTCCTCCATACCATGTTTGCATATATCCAAATCCTTCAACATCATGAGACCATTTTTAAGCTCCAACGTTAGAGCTCTCTGCTCCTCCTGAGACTGACAATGCAACTTCTGCAGAGTGTGGAGAGTGTTTTCCACTTGTACGAACCGTGACTGCTCATCTTGCATCATACTCTGAAGCTTCTTCAACTCATCTTGCTTTTCTGCAAGCTCTTGATCCTTAATAGCAATCTTCTGTACAAGTTTGTCTGCTTCAAACTGCAGTGAATGGTTTGATTGCTCCAAATGAGCACACCTTCCTTCTGTCGTTTCCAGTTTAGCATGAACCATCACAAGTTCACCTTTCAGATGTTTTGCATCAGCTTGAGCACGAGAAATTTCAGTTTCCATCTTGGCAATTTTCTCCAAGCACTGCTCATACTGGAGAGATGCTGTTTCCTTCTCTTCAATGAGTTCAGCAAGACTTGTCTTCAGTGCTTTGACTTCAGTCTCTGAACTATTCATTTGTTCATCAAGCATTCTTGCATAATCTTCAGAAAGAGAGATTTTGTTCTCCAAGGCAGATATCTTCTTTAGGCATTGCTTATACTGAAGAAGACTTGCCTCCTTTTCAGCTGCTAATCTGGAAAGTTGCTGCACAAGGTTCTGAGCTTCAATTTCTGCCTTAGAAGCTCTCTCATTATGTCCTTCAGCATGTTGTTGGGCCATAGATAATAGCATTTCTAGGTTTGATATCTTTTGCAAACATTGGTTATATTGTTGAAGACCATCATCCTTCTCTGCTTTCAGATCTAGAAGGGCTTCCTTCAATATTTTTATTTCGATTTCAGCTTTGCTCGCTCGCTCGTCAAGTCCACCAGCATCTTTTTGAGCAGAACTTAGTTCTTTCTCCAGGTTGGATAGCTTTTCCAAAGAGTTTTGGAATTTAAGAAAGAAAGCTTCCTTTTCAGCTTCCATCTGACTTAGTCGTTTTCTTAAAATTTGAAGTTCAGCATCTGATTTTTCGGCACGTTCTGATTCACACAGGACCTGAGATTTGAGATCATAAATTTTACTTGATAGCTGAGGTGATACTCTTTGCAAGTTATCGTCGTCGAATTCACCTTCATGAAAAACTGATCCCGATTCGATGCTTCCCTCGTTAACCTCTGAATTTTCTAGCACATTTTTTCTTGGTGTAAAGATCTCATTGAGCTGTTTCAGACCCCCTTTACTTACACGAGAGTTAGAATCCCCAACATTCTCTCCTTTCATTCTCAATGGATGTTGGTTCGTTGATGACGAACCTCCCGACTCCGTGTGCAAGTCATCTCGATCAAGCAGTGCATGATTCGGGAGGTGGATTTCTGGTGTGTGGGGTTCAGATTCAGAAACAGAAGACCCCGAAGGTGGCTCATCAGCAAAATCATAGGGAGGCATTTGGTTGGCAAATGCTTGAGCCATGGCTTTATGGGCATGGCGAAGCTCCCCAGTTGCATGGTCATATCTTTCAGCTAAAGCTCGGTAAGCTCGGTAGAATTCCTCAACCAATTTCATAAGCTCTGGACGTTTCTTATAGTACATTTCTGCTCTCCTTGCAAAGGAATCTGCATCCTCTTCAATGAGTTTTATCATTGCTTTAACTTTCGCATCCATATCTGCACAAAAAGTGAACAGGTCTACATCAGCATTTAGTCATTATCCGCTGTTGCAAGAGAGAGCATAAAGCCACCTGGTTCTCTATGTTCAATAAAATTAATGAAGATAGAAAATTTGCCAAGTGAAAGCAACAATGTTGAATTTTTAAAAGCTCATGAATTCACACTTCTGATCGTCTGAAGTCATCTGCAAACAAATGTGATGATACTGAATCACTCAAGTTTAAGCTAGCATCCGTATGTTAACCCATGATAAGAACATCCCAGAGATCAAATAATTTTGAGAATGCAAGTGCTAATCAAGACATGTTTATGCAACACAACATTAATTTTAGTAAACGATTGACAGTCTAAACATTCAAAAGTATATGTATATTTCGGCTCCTCTCCTTAAATTATGCTCACGGCCAACTCCTACCTCAAAGCTTTTGCCCATCTCAAGGACAGCTCCAAAAATAGCTAGGGTAAGAATCCAAAAATGCTCATAGAAACATATGATTGGCCCCAAAAAAGAGAGTTTCAACTACAAACTTTCTACCAGTTTCTTCCAATCAACTACTTCTCTCATTACACATAAATGAAGCCTCCAGTACCAACTCATCTAAAACTCAGATGTTAAAAATGTCAGCAAGAGATAGAAGGCTAATTTAGTGTGAGTGTGAAGCTCAACCAATGTAAGAACAATGCGGCCCCCTAAATTTCCATTCAAGAGGAAGCAACACAGTGCCAAAAGAGAAAAAAAAAAAAAAAGGCTTGTGCCATTAGCAACTTGGGGAGTGTCGGTCGACAAGCACCATCCAAACATGGGAGTAGGACTGAACTTGCCATCAGTAAGATTAGTCATGATGAGAAGATTCATAACCTGTAAGATTATCCTGTAGCCATTTTGAATTTTTAGGGCTGATATGGCTATCCCACCACCAAGAATATAAGCGCCGAGATTCGGAATGCAACAAAGTTGCCATAACTCCAGCAAACAACAACCAAACAAATGGTTTCGACCTTGCAAAAACCTGGTCCTTATGCCAGTAATACTCAAGGTAACGGATCCAGGCCAGACTAGCACGATTTCAACTCCACGACCTGGTTAATCCTTCATGAGCCTATCCAGCTCGTTGTCACTAAGTTCACCTGCATAGCAAGAGAAAATGTCAATTGGAGACCAACCAAATTTGGCTTATTTTGGCCCTTTAGACTTCAATAGGAAGCTTGAAAGAAAAGGCATGCCATCAAGCTGCTCAAACAAAAACAACTTTAATCATTTCAATTTCTTTGCTTAACATCACAAGCCAACTGATTCAAAGGGTGGGGAAAACAGATGGAATCCAGATCTCCAACCACATAGAACTCTCTCAAATTCGGTGATGAGCTCTGCAAATAGTTGATTATTTCAGAAAAATGCTAGTTCATACAGGTTTGTAAAGTTGATTCTGGAAGAAGCCTAGGGTAGTATAATAATCAAGAAGAATCAGTTGAATTCTCAACTCAACAACCAGTTCTTAGTGCAAAAGGAAAAGATCATTAGTTCAAAAGCTTACCTGTGCTGAGCTTGGATCAGCAAGAAAGCCGCCGTAGTACAAATAACTAAAGGTAAAATCATTATGTCATTCTTCATAGACACTGCAGAAACCAACCCTTTTCGAACCAGGGGACCAATAGCCTCCAAAATGGCTGAAAATCGCTGCTTGTTCCCAATCAACAAGAAACTCTACAGTTCAGAAAGAACAAAAAATCAGATTTCAAGCAAATGGGTCTCCCCCAAAAGGAGAGAAACAGCACACTCTTCCGATGAAACACTTCGATCAAATGAAAGCCGTAGAAAAAATGCTACGAAATGGACCATCAAAAGAAAAACTCCACGAACCAATCAGCTTCTTCACCCCATTTTTCTGTCCCTGGTTGAAAGCTTGTCTCCCAGCTATTCTCCATCTCTGCAGATCATATTCCCATTATATTTTTGGGTTTTGTACTGTGCCCGTTCAATGATGGCTCGGCCGTTCGAGCAGCGCAAATGGCAGCTCTCAGAGATTACGCAAAAGGGGTAAATAATTGATTAAAGGGTTAAGCAAGCAATTAGGCAATTAACACAGGAAATTATACTTAGGTAGGTAACTACTAGAAATTTACAAATTAGAACACAAAAATTTGAAAATCACTCCGCAAAAACAAGTCTTGAAATTAGTATGATTAGAGTTAATTGGGATTCTTCAAAAGGAAAACTGTCATCTTCTCCCGATTTTGCTGTCTTTTGTCGTTACCACCCTGTGGAAGATTAGTGGGTGGCGAGTGATTAAGGAAATTGAATGACCAAAAGCTACCTCCTACTTTATTTTTTTCTTATTGGTATGTGTGTTTAGTGCTAATTATTAAAATTTTTCTTCTTTTTTCCTGCACGGTTGCTTGTGGCTATGATGTTCAAGCTGTTCTTTATTGGGTTTCTAAACAGTAATTGGTGCATTTCATTATTGTCTTCCAACTTTAGAAGATGAGAAGTAAAATAAACCAAAGTTCAGTTTTTTTTTTTCTAATCAAGTTTATGAGAAATGATTATAAGAGTTATGAACAAATGAAACTTCCTGTAAAGTTTTGAGATTGGGATCTTTCCCATTTTAGGATGTCTTCAGCAATTTGGAGGTTACTTCCATTTTTGAAAAGGAAAAATTTAGAAAATTGAGTTGATATGACGAGGTTACCAAATTGATTTCAAGAGGATTTGACATTAAAAATTTTGATTAATATTGGTGCTTTAAATGGCTATTATCTATTTATCTCTATATATTTTTTTGCATTTAATTCTCATTAAGTAGGTAAAAAGTTAAATCTTATCAAATATTAAAAAAAAGGTTAAATCTTATCGAAATAAATAAGTTGACTTATGATCATATATGTATATTATATTCAAATTTCTATTTTTTTCCTTTTTCACCCACCAAATTTCCAAACCATTATTTTAACTTATTTATATTTTTTCCTTTAAATTATTGGTAATGGAAATTAATAACTATTTAAGCACAATTTAATTATCTTATTATACAAAGTTATCATTCATTAATCAATTCTCAATATTTTCAACACGTCATCTTCTCTTTTTCAATTGGTCTAATCTCAAAATTTTGAAATCTTTTAATCTTGTACTTTCTTTCATTTTTCTTTGCAAAAACCAAATTTTTTTCCTTGGGTGGTGGAAGACCAAATGTCATATTTCTTCAAATAAGTAACTCCTCTGTTTCATAGACAAACGTTATAAGAAAAAAGGAAAGGAAGAAGGGAGAATAAGAAACCCATCACGGAGGTCGGAAACAAAATATTATTTAACTCTTTAGTTCCATGGTAATTGGTATATGTTTTTTATGAAGAGGTCATGAGTTCGAATTCTTTTGCATACTAAAAAAATTATGTTACCAAATTTAGGAATGAGACATATTTTGGGTAAGTTTATTATTTAATAAAAGAAAAAATAATAACAACTCATTTAAAGTATTTTCATGTTATGAGATAGGTTCCTGAAAAAAAATTAAAAGACGTTATGAGATAGGTTGTACACATTTATGAACAGTGATTATTGGCGAAGACTCATCTTCTTGTTGAGACCCTTATTTAGTATTACAACAACATGTGGGGGTGGAAATTCGAACCCATGATTTTTTACTCGAAAATATATATCTTAACTAGTTAAATTATATTCGGATTGACTATCAAAAAAAAGTTATCTTCGAATTGACGCTGAAGAACAAGTGTCAACGAGTAAGAATCTGAATACTATTTCACATTTTTGTACCATGTCACAAAACCCAATTGAATCACATTTTGATTATTAAATGAGAATTAGGTAAACATAGAGTCCATTATGCAAAAAGTCAACAAAAGTTGGCCCTTTCTCAACACACCATCACACCCACCCCTACAAATGGGGATGGAAAAAAAAAAAATTTGTGGAGACCCTCACCTCTAAAGAAGTGGAGAATCCTTTAAGATTGGAAAAAATATATATATTTCCTTGGAAAAAAATTTATTAGAATCGAATCCTAATTTTTTTTTAATTTTCTTAAGAATATACTGTCATGAATATAAAGGACACAGATTCAAACTTTTAACCACAAGATTGCGATGTCTTAACTAAATAAGCTATGTTAAGATTAGATAAATTCTTTCACTTTATATATTTATTAAAATTTTCATGACTAATCTTATGCCCACCTTTAATATAATTCCCAACTTTCAATTGACTCATGTGTGAAATAATACACTATAGTTTAAAAAAAAAAAATTAAAAGCCACTATGCTTGTTAAAGTTTCTTCCATTATTATGATCATATGGAATTATCAAACAGCTAAAACCAATAATGTCATTTAGCATTGCTCCATTGCTCAACTTCCTCATTTACCAACTACCAACAATAAATTCAAAACTAAAAGAAATAATAATAATAATCATTTTCCTTTTTAACAAAGAAGCTATTGAAATGAAAAGATTTTTAACTCATGAGATAAATATTTAAAACTAACTTGAAGTTTGTCAATCAAATAATCACTATTAAATGTTCATTTTGCTTCATTACACCCTAATAATAATTAGGATAAAATACATTTTTGATCATTGAGATTTGGACTTAGTTTTTATTTGGTTAGTTTCTATTTGATCCCTAAATTTAAAAACACATTTTTGTCCTTGAGAATTGAATTCAGTTTTTAATTGGTCACTGAAGTTTGAATTTTGTTTCTAATTGGTTATTGAGTTAAAGTTGACCATTAGGTTAACCTAATAGCATTCTTCTTTTTCTTTTGCCTAAGTAGAAAAGTCCAGCCAACATATGTTAATCATCACATCATTCCAATATAGGTTAACTAATGATCAACTCAATTTAGGGACCAATTAAAAACCATACTCAAATCTCAGTGATCAATTAGAAACCAAACTCCAACGTCAGGGACCAATTCAAAATTAAATTCAAACTTTATGGACCAAATATGTCACTTTTGAAACTTGATGATCAAATAAATTGAAATCTCAATGACCAAAAGTGACGGGTCTTTTAACTCAGTGACCAAATAAAAACAAGTCCAAACCTTAAGAATCAAAAACGTATTTTACCCACGTAACTATGAGATCAATATTTTCCAAAATATAATTCAACAAATATGATCTCTAATAATAAAACTCAACCTCACTTTGTCTATGATCTCTACAACAAGACTATTTTAAATATAATAAAATGTAGAGAAACAACCAAAAAATTTGAAAGGGACTCTGTCGGTGCCCTATAGGCCCTTTTTTCTCTTTTCTCTTTTCTTTTTTTCTTTTTTTCCTTTTCTTTTTTTTTTCAAATGAGGTCTATAAGCTTATATTGAATAAACATTAAGCAGTGCAATAAGAAAATAATAATAATAATAATAATTAAGAAGAAAGTCCCCCACGATTGCCAACACATTGTTTGAATTTTTGGTATTTGTTTTTTTTTTCCCTCTCTTATGGCCTACCCTTCCATTATTGATGTTTCAAATTGTGGGTGAATTTTGCCTACCCTTCAAGGTGGACCTCCACCTTTTTTTTTTAATTAATTAATGATGCCACGGCTCTAAAAAAGCTATGTCATTTTTCAATTTTGTCTCAATCATATCTTCCATAATACTACTACTGTAAAAATTAATTGTTCGTCTGAACATAACTCAATTAGTTAAAATGTTATCACATCTTCTATAAACCAAAAATTCAAATCTCTCACAGCTGTGGTGTTATATTCTAAAAACCTAATCAACTTTTAGATAGGACAAAGCCATCAAAACTCCAATGGACTTTTGTTTCATAGAAAATAATATTTTTTAACTTGTTATTTTTTAGAAATATTATATTACAAATAAAGGGGTAAAGGTTTCAACGTACAACTTATAAGAACCTTACTAATTGAATATTAATTTATTCACCCATAAAACTTTAATGACATTATTGAGCATTGATTTGATTGGTTTTTTCCTTTCTTAAACATACATACAAAATCAAAGTTTATTTGTATATAAAAGAAGTGCATTTCCAAATTGCAATTTTGTATCATTAAGATAAAAGGAGAAAGTGGGTATCTTTCTATTTTTATTCCTTTATTCTATCAATATATATTGAGATTTTGTTTGCATCTATATTTTTCTTTTCAAAAAAGTTTTTAACTTTATACTTTTTTTTCCTTAACATAAAGTTTTGAATCATGAGTAATGATAAAGAAGCCAACCCAATAATTTCATTTTCTAAATATCGAAATATTTGGATCAATTGGGTCCAATGTAAAAATATTAGGAGTCATTGGACAACTGGTCAATGTGTTCAGATGGGCATCAGAACCGTCCATTTAATGATGTCCACATGGGTGCTGACGTCGGATTTCTTTGACTCATTGGATGGCTTGTGGGTCCACGTGTCCTATTGACAATGGGATGTCCATACTTCTTGCCTTATTTATTCAGAATTAAATCATTGGTGTCTCTCCTATTTCAATGTTTATTTGATTTCTTGATACAATTTTTTTTTTATTTTTTGGGTTCAATGAGGGTATAGGATTCAAAACTTCAACCATGAATGACCGTATTGATGGTACGAGTAATTACGATTTATAATAGTAATATCATATCAATATAGAAATAAAATAATTTTTTTTGAACCTCCACTTGCAAGAAAATTACGTTTTATTGTTGAACTATGCTGATGTCGGTAGGAAATAAAAAGAATCCATTGTCCTAAACTAATGGTTTTGAAATTTTATATTATGTTCACAATGATAGTAATCACAACTTACAATACCCTTTTGTTCGAGGAATTATGTGCTAATTTATGGGCAACTCTAGTCTTTGTCATAATTGTCGGATCTAAACTCTATCTCTTCTCTTATTCTCTTTCTCCGATTCCTCGCAAATGCAAAGCTCAAGGAACTCTTGTATTCGAGAAATCGATATTCTCTCATTAGCAAAAGTGTAGCTCTCACTGAAACGACTCGTTTAGATGAACAAGACTATCATCGAGAAAATCTTATTTCTCCGGAAAGTACTCCAGTTTTAGAAATTAATTTCCATCGCTCTTATGAACAAAGAAAAAGATTTAGGATGCAAAGCTGGAGATTGCATTCAAGGTTTAAACTACACAAGCTTTAAATGAAGAAGATGTTGCTGCACAGTAACTGCAAGCTAAAATCTGCAGGAAATGTTGTAAACCTTCCAACAATGGAGATTTGGAGTACATTCTGCATCAATCAAAGTTCTAACACCATCAATGGAG